CGCCGCGCGGGGGCTCTCGCCGAAGGCCTCGTGCAGGTCCCGCAGCACATCCGGGGCCCGGCCGCCCGTGAGCAAGGCGGCGGCTGCGCGCGTGACCAACAGGGCGGCCCGGCGCTCACCTGCGGAGAGAAACAGGCGCTGACCCGCCCGGCCGACCTCCCGCACCGTGAGCCCTCCGAAGTCCTGCTGGGGTGTCACCCTCGGCCGTGACGGGACGGGATCGGAGCCAGGGCCACCACCCGGGATGGGCAGCTCTGCAGCGGCCCCAGCAGGGTATCCAAGGTTTTGTCACTTCTCAGCCCCGATGGAAATGTATGTACAACACTTTGTAATGGTGCATTTTAAGGTTCAGTTTCCTCTTCAGAAGGTTAGCACCCTGTCCCACCAAGGTCAGAGCCAAGGTTAGCACCCTGTCCCACCAAGGTCAGAGCTGAGGGCTGACTCTGACTTGGGTGGGGCCATTGCTCCTGGGTACCGTTGTTCCTGCCTTCTTGGGTCCTTGGGAGTGACCCCATTGGGTCCCCTCTCTGGAACACAAGCTCTTCTCTATCCTGTCCAAGAAAGGGGGTGATGCCCACAGTGCTGCGGAGTGGGTGATCTGGGCTCTTACTGAACCTCACCATGTCTGTTTCCTTTCCTGCATTGGGGTGGGGATTATCAATCAGTCTATACTCGCAGGGTCCTGAGGATTAATTGTAAGCACAGTGTCACAGAGGAAAGGGGAAAAAAGTATGTTGTCCTCCGTGCTGGATCAATGAACTGATCAACCAATGAACCAACAAATCAATGACCCATCTGTTCATCCAACTATCCAACCAACCAACCAACCAACCAGTGAATGAACCATCCGTACAACCAATGAATGAACCATCTGTACAACCAATGTATCATCTAACCAATCAAGAACTAACCAACCAACCATTAACCAACCAACTAATGAACCAATGAACAAACCAAGCAATCAGTGAATTACTGACCAACTAGTGAGCCACCCAGCCACCCAACCAACCTACAAATTAATCAACCAATCACCCAACCAATGAAACAACCAAACAACCAACCAACCGACCAACCGCAGAGTCCCCTGGTCCAGTCGTGGTGGCTGATCACAAGGTCAGCCTGTCTTGTCCTGGTGGGTAAAGCCAGAGAAATGCTGGGCACTTCCTATCAGTGGCTGGATGTAATACAGAAAGGCCTGTAGCCATGATTTTTGGGTTTTTTGTTTTGTTTTTGTTTTTTTCTGGTGTCGGGAGTCGAACTCACGACCTTGCACTTGCCAGGCAGGCACTGTGCCGCTGAGCTAAATCCCCAGCCCTGTAGCTATCATTTTTGCAGTAGTTCCTGAATCTAAGGAGTTACAGTGGGAGGGGAGCCCTGGGACGGATGGGGTGCAGCTAGTTACTCACATGAAAGTGTGGTCTCTCTTCCTCAGACTTTAATTACGCACAGCAGACTTCCTGATGTTGCCCCACAGGTCACCAAAGCTCTGCTCTTGTTTCTTGTGTTGTTTATATTGGATCATTGAGTTTTGCTGACTTTTCTGCTTTCTCCATTAAGCTGATCTTTTTTTTTTTTTTTTTTTATTTCAGCTGTCAGACTTTTCAGTTCTGGGATTTCCAGTGTGTTCTTTTACACTTCCTCCTCCTCTACCTACCTCTTCTTTCTCTTCTTTCTCCAAGCATGCAGACCTCCCCTCCCCTTCCCCCGCCTTTCCAGGCTCAGTTTCCAGGCTGTCTGCATGTGGCTACTGTCCAGTGTCTTCAAATAGCTGCTTTTGCTGTTTTGTCCACTTGTGTGATCATTATCTTTGGGACACGAATCCAGTCAAGCTCTGCCACCTCTGCTAGAAGCCAGATCTTCTATTATTAGATTTAACGGTTTTGACAACCCAGAAAGGGTATGTAAAATGCTATCCCATTGTTTAAATTTTCATTTTCCCAATTACTCATGAGGTTCATTAATTTTTTCCCAATCTGGTGAGTAGAAAGAAAATAGTTTCTCATTGTTTTAATTAGCATTTGTCTCATTACCATGATGGTGAGTATTTTTCACATGTTTTATTAGCCATCTGTGTTTTCTCTTTTGGGAAATGTTTTTGCCAATTCTTTTATTGGATTTTTCTTATCAATATGAAGGAACTCTTCAGTTACTCTGCATACTAATTTTTTGCCCATTGTATATTTGTAAGTTACTTTCTCTCTGGGGGTTGTCCTTTCATTTGCTATAGCTATGGACAAAACAAAGCTTCAAAAATTCGATAAAATCTGACATGTCAAATGTGCCTTTATTGTTTCCACTTTTTGTATCTTAAAATGCCCAAGTGTGCATGGAAGTCTTCATAATATTCCCTTGTATTTTCTTTCAGAAACTGAAATTTAGTATTCACATAATCCATTGGGGATTTACTTCTGTGCGTAGCATCAGTTGGGAAGTGACTGTGGTCCTTTGACTAATGGTCCTATTTCCCCTAGAGACTTGCAGTGCCCACTCTGACACATGCGAGGTTTTAGATACAAGTGCGTCTGTTGCCGGACTCTCGCTTGTTTTCTTGGTCCTTCTATCTGTCCCTCAGTTCGAGAACCCTCCGTGCTGATCAGGATGGCTCTGTTTATTGGTAAGCAAGCTCCCCTCCTTCATCTTCCCTTCCCCTCTCTTCCTCTTTTCTCACCTTCCCCCTTCCTCCTCCTCCTCCTTCTTCTGTGTCTTTGTCATTATTGACCCCTTGGTCTTAATTATAATATCAAATCTTTCTAACAATGGGCATTGCACATCTTTGCATTTATATAGGCCTTCTTTCTTTAATTGAGTTTTATACTTTTCTCCATAAAATCATGTGACTCTTCAAACAAGATTATTTTCTGCTGCTATGGTAAATAATATATTTTTAAGTGATAGAATTTCTATTTGTGCCTGCAGTGGATACATGTAAGTGAACTTGGGAATCCCATTGAATTCTTTTTGCCTTATCTAATACTTTCTGGCTGTGTCCTTTGAGGTTTCTACAAAGCTAATCTTATTGTCTGGAATAGCCATACCTTTGTTGTTTCCTTTCTAGCCTTGCTTGTTCTGTTTTCTTATCATAGTGCCTTTGCTCAAATCTCTAGTACAGCGATGACCAACAGGACTGCGGGCAGCTGCCTCGTGACACGTTTGATTGGTTAACTGGATTTTGGTGGTACTGGGGACTGAACCCAGGGCCTTCACACTGAGCCACATCCTTAGCCCTTTTAAAGGTTTTTTCTTTCTACCTTGAGGTAGGGTCTTGCCAAGTCTCTAAGCTGATCGTCTTGCCACAATTTCCCAATCTGCCACCTGTCTGGCTTCATTATTGGCTTTAAATGAGAGACTTGTGGCTGGGGGTTTAGCTCAGCGGCAGAATGCCCGCCTGGCAAGCATGAGGTCTTGAGTTTGATTCCCGGTACCGGAAACAAAAAAACAAAACAAAAAAAAAAAAAAAAATGAGAGACTTCTAAAATGTCACCATCAAGTATGATATTTATGGTGGGTTTTTAATAGATGTCATCTTTTTCAATGAAGTAAGTTTTCTTCTACTCAGGGGCTGTTAAAATTTTGGAGGTGATAATGTTATAAAATACTTTGTAAATCTATTGCAATGACCATATGTTTTTCTTTATTCCATTATTGAATTTAGTGAGGTACGTTATTATAGAAGCATAAAACTCTAAGCCCTATATGATTTAACTGAGTTTTGGCTAAAACGTACATTCTGGCCAAGATATGTGGCCAACCTAAGTGTCCATTGGTAGACAAATTGCTAAAGAAACATGATGTGTATACACAATGAAATTCCATTTGGCCTGTTACAGTTAGCTACGAGAAATAAATTCGGGTGTTTATTACAGAATATAGTGATTTTAGGCCAGGCGTGGTGGCGCACGCCTGTAATCCCAGCACTCGGGAAGCTGAGGCAGGAGGATCGTTGCGAGTTCGAGACCAGCCTAGGCTACAAAGTGAGCTCAAGGGCAGCCTGAACTACATAGCCAGACCCTGTCTCAAAAAGACAAAAAAAAAAAAAAAGAGTGATTTTAGAGTGATGATGTATGGTATACTTCAAAACGGACAGAAGAGAGAATTTTGAACATTTCTCCAGGAAAAAGTGATAAATGTCTGAAGTGGTACATAGGCTAATGACTGATGATACAATATATACATGTATCAAAAAATCACATTCTACCCTGTACATTTACACAATTACCATGTGACAGTTTGAGAAAGAAACAAGTGCTTTGCGCCAGTTAGAGTTGTATCGGTTAAGTACTGCTGCTTAAGGAGCCACCACAAAAGAACCTCAAAGGGCAGCCTTTCCCATTGCCATGGTTCCCCCCCCCACTCCCTACCCCCCCTTCTGGGCCGAGCCGACACGGCAGTTCCTCCGAGGATCTGCCCGGGACTCACCAGGGGCTGCACAGAGCAGGCAGGTCCCGCAGGCCTTGCTCCACCTGTGCCCGCAGAGCCTCTGCGGTAGCTGAGAAGCTTCCCCAAAGCCTGCAGCTGAAGCTGAGCCCCAGCCTCTTGGGGCGCTGTTGGGAGCTATGCAGCCTTCAGGAGATGAGGCCTCTTTGGAAACCTCTGGCCACGTGAGGGCTGCCTGGAGGGGGCGGGACCCTGGGCCTCTTCTTCCTGTCACTTACCAGCCAGCATGAGGGGAGCAGCTTCCTCAACACACTCCTGTGCTATGATGTGCCATCTCACACAGGCCCAGAGCCACAGGGTCACCCGGCCAGGGACCAAAATGCACCTTCCCTCTCGAAGTTGATTGCTTCAAGGCATTTTGTTGCAGTAACAGAAAGCAGACTGACACAGCGTCTCCCCTTGTTCTCAACTGGGAATGGTCCACACACAATGTCACCTCCACTATATCCCACTGCTCCAGAAGCCACGAAGCCAGGCCCATTGCTGCTCTGGCTGGGAGAAGCTGGAGCCAGGGCTGTACTGCTCACCTGCCCTGCTGTTCTTACAAGGAACCTCCACTGAGCAAGAATGGTACTTCTGGGTGGCCCTTGGGGAGCCATGGTGCCGCATGGCCGCCCACTGGGTACCAGGATGTGTGAGTCGAGCTGGGTTTATCCTGTATCCTAGCATTACGCCTGTGTCCATTTGCCCAGCTTGTTTTAGGAACATTTATTTCTTCACTTCTTGTGTAACCATGTTTGTGTGGTGGTTGACCTGGGGACATGGTCCCACTAACATGTGATTCCTGGGGAAGGCACCCCCTGCCGTGTGCCCAACTCTGGTGCCATTCCAGCTGCTCTCTGTCCCTCAGACACCCTCAGGGTCAACCGCTGGAGAAGAGCCCTTGGAGGCTGGGCCTGAATGAACCTTCCTGTCGTAACTGGCCAGGTACTGTGGTCACGCAAGCAGAAAGCTGACAATGCCCTGGGGGTGCCAAAAACCCCAATGCCCCTTTGCTGTCTGCCTCTCCCCGTAGTCCGGGCTCCAAGTGGACACTAACAATCATCCTCAGCGTTCCTTTGCCATCCACACTGCGCCACCCTCAGACATGTCCCCCGTCCTTTCTAGCAGTGACGGCTCCTGCCCATCGATCTGCCCCTCTCCTGCCCATGGTCTCTTCTGAACCACGACCCTGGCCCTGACCTGTAGACGCCCAGCTCCGGGTCTCTCACCCCAGGTTCTGCCCTCTCTCTGGTTCCGAGGGTGCCCTCCACACACCAGCTGGAACACGCTCAGCACGAGTTGCGAGCCCCCCCCCCCCCCGACCATCCTGCTGTTTTAAGCCTTCAGGGGCTGTGAGGGCAAAGCTGAAGTCCCTGGGAAGCCAGCAGGACTTGGCCCACACCCCTGCCCCATCCTTCAGCGGCCAGCCTGGCCCGTTTGGTGGCAAGGACGTCCCAAGCCCTGTCTTCCCCAGGACCACGGCAGCTCCCCCCTCTGCCTGGGTCTTTCAGTGTTCACTCGCTCGCTTGCCACTTCCCCCTGTTCCCTGCGGAGCAGCACCTCCGCGGTCCATTTACAATGCGAGGATTGTGTTGGACCCTCTCGGGAGCTCTGCAGGGGTAGAGCCTGACTACCCTGTCACTCTGGTGTCCCCAGCCCGGGCACAAGCCCACCACCGCAGGGCTTAACTGTGGCCAGAGTGACTGCCACCCTGGCCCTGGTGGGGCGGTTGACTCACTCTCTGTAATGGTTGACACATTGTGCCAACTTGAAAAGTTTAATTAAGCCACTCTGCAGGGGCCCAGGGTCTTTCCTTTGTAAACATCCTCAGCCTGTGCAAGAGGAGGACAGGAAGATGGTGTGAGCGCTACATCCGCCCTGGGAGGGGGTAGCCTGCTTATAATATAAGGGAGGAAGAGAGGTTTGCTCTCTCCCCACTTTTTGCTCTTGTTGCTTTTGCTGTCTTCCACTGCCGTGAACTGTTGCCCTCTGCCATGTGCCACCCTGCCTTGGAGCCAGCTGAGTATGGACTGAAACCTCCACAAACTGTGAACTAAATGAACTTTTCCTTTCTTAATTTCGGGTGTTGGGTATTTTGTCTCAGCAAGGACAGAAAAGTGACTAAGATACTCTCCTACCTTTGGGTCCACTGCCTGTCAGGTCAGACTGCAGGGCCTGGCTGCACATGACCAAGCACTCCTCGTAGCTGCCGTGGAGCAGCAGGGTGTCAGGAGACAGGGCGTCCCTCCAGGGGCCCCCAGGGTCCAGGGCTGCCAGCAGTCCCTGGCAGTCAGTGTCCTGTGGGCTGGCGTGGTCTGTGGCCTCTGCATGCCCTGCGATGTGGCCCCGCAGGGTGCTGAGCAGTGTGGGGAGGTAGGGCTGCTGGTGGGTGCGGATGAAGGCCACTGTGCGCCTGGCGCTTGAGGTGAAGGCCCGCAGGTAGTTGGCCACACCCTCACCCGCTGGATCCCCGGACAGGACGAGGGCCAGGGCGCGGGTCAGCTGCAGCTCCAGGGCCTGCTGTGAGTGGGTGTCCAGCAGGGCATCGCAGCGCCGTACCACCTCCCCGTGGTGCCCATGGGCCAACAGGCCAGCCAGAGAGTGCAGGACGGCGGCTGGGTGGTCCGGGCAGAGGGCTCCCAGGAAGGCAGAGGCCAGGGCCCCTGTCAGTGAGACCACTGCCATGCCGTCCCAGTGGACAGCCGGGATCTGGCTGTCCCCACGGCACCAGGCCTCCAGGGTGGCCACCACAGGTGCCCCCCGGGCCTCAGCCAGTGCTGCCTGCACGTTCCTTAGGGCCGAGGGGGCGTGGCAGCTGAAGGCAGCGAGGTAGAAAGCTGTGGCCAGGGGCGGCTCCCCCAGAGCCAGGTGCTGGTCCCCCTCCCGGCAGAGGCAGGCCACAAGCTCCTGGGCTGACATCACGTCTGTGGTGGCATCATGTCTGGTTCTCAGGCACCTGGAGGAAGGGGTGGTGGTTAGTGCTCCGCCCCTGGGCCCTGTGCCACCAAGCCCATCTGACCTCGGCCTCTCCCTCCTGTGAAGAGCCAAGGTCAGGATGATCTGTGGCCCAGGCACTGGACATTGGATGCTCCCTCAGCTGCCCATCTTCATGGTGCCGTGCCTGCCAGGGCCTCCAGACCACGTTCCCCCACCCTGCCACCTTCCGCCTCTGCTTCCTCTTGCATGGAATGGGACAGCATGCACCTGGTGGGTCACTCTAAGAGCACCTGGGCCCTGAAGCCAGGCTGCGGAGCACAGGGGTGGACTGAGGGGTCGGGGACTCCAGCCAGGTGAGCTGAGGGTTGGTGCCTGGCCCAGATGGCCTGGGGTGGGGGCCTGGCCAGGGTGACCTGGTCTCCTGTTCTCCCAGCAGCACAGGGCTCCCCAGGAGGGTGACACCTGCAGGCTTTGGGGCCCTACCAGGACCATTTCTGCCCCCCGCTCACCCGTAGGGGATACAGGCTAGGCTGGGGTGCTTGGGTTGCAGGGCACCTGCCTGGTCCTGAGTGGGGCAGGGTGATTCTGGCTGGCACCACTAGGCTCTGTTCTGGGGCAGGTCCCCAGGGACCAGCCCTACCCTGCCCGCCCCCCCCCCCCCACATGAGGACCACCTTCTCAGAACCCCCTTCCCTGGTCTCAGTGCTGGCTCAAAGGAGCCCCTGAGCCTCCCAGGCGCAGAGAGACATGTGCATGCTCACCTGTCTCACCCAGCACCTCACACTTGCCTGGGGCTTCCACACTGCCAGCTGTGTGCTGGGCAAGGGAAGGGCCCTGTCCCCAGTCCTTCTCCGCCGGCCTGGGCTGTGCTGAGCTCCTGCAGATGCCTGGCCGGGCTCAGGGAAGTGGCTGGCCCTGGTGCAGATCTTGTTTCCTGGGAGAGCGTCAACACCCTCACAACTGGGCTGCTCTGCAGCGCCCCCCTGTGGCCGATGCACAGGAGAGGCCACAGCCCCCTCTCTCCTGGCTGCCAGTGGGGGAGGGGGAGGACTTCCTCCTGCAGGGCTGGGTGCAAGGGGTGCAGGCCCGGGACAGGCTTGGACAGACAAACACCAGTTTGGGGGCTACAGGGGTGTGGTGCCTCTGGGTGCCAGGGTAGAGCTACCAGCTCCAGGGCTGACCCTGCCCGGCTCTGTATTTGTACCCCAGAACTCTGCCTTTGCTGCTTTGGGGGCCGCTTCACTGGACCTCTCTCCCCCAGGATCCTGTGCCCCTGGGGTCCTGCGCATCCCCCACCTGCCCTGGATCCCTGTCCTGGAAGCTCTTTCCACCCTGGGCAGGTGGGACTGGATCCTTGTGGCCACACCACTGGCTCCCTGTGCCTCCCGCCCTCTGGCCCCTGGCCTCCTAGGTGAGGCCCAGACATGCAGAAGGCGGGTGAGAAGGGGGCTGCCTTAGGAATCCCCGCCCACCCCTGCAGCAGGAAGAGTAGGGAACTTGTGAGAATCTGAGCTGCGCACAGGCAGCTGTCTTAGAGGACTGGGGGCATGGGAGTGGGGACACCAGTCTTGTGTCCCTGGAGAGCAGGTCCACTCTGGGTGCTGAGGGTCCCTGGGGCCCCACTGGCACCAGATCTTCTGGGACTCAGGAAACTGCATGAGCACACAGGGGGACTGGCAGCACATCTGACCTCTGAGCTCGCTGGCCAGGGAGGCCCTGGTCCCTGGAGTTGTGGAGCTGGAGGCCGGGCGGGGGCGGGGTCCTGGGCAGGTGTGGTCTTCCTGTTTGCCCTGCTGCTTCTCAGCTCCTTGACAGTCATAGGCTGAGCCCACAGGCTGTTAAGAATGCTTGCTCCTGTGCTTTGATTACTCTCCCTTCAATCAGTCTAACTAGGTGCACGCAGTAAGGGGGCTTGGAAAGGGCCTGCAGCACAGAAGAGGCACGTCTGTGTGACGACTACAGCCACATGAGCCCTGGTCTATCCCTTGCATCTGCCCAGGTGCAGAGAGCCCAAGGACCACAGGCCTGGCCAGATGTGCCTGCTGTCCATCTGGCCGGGCGTGATCCCAGCCCCATCTGAGGGCAGCACACCTGTGCAGGTGGCCTGAGGTGCTACCGGGTACCACTGCCTGGGCTGGGCAAGGGCCAAGGCTGTGGTCTGGAGGTGCCGGGATCCAGGCCAGCTGCAGCTACTCAGATTTGCGTCACTTTGGTCCTTTACAGGATCTGTACCATGTGTGACCGCAGTTGGCACCCTGGGCATGACTGTGCTTGTCAAAACCATGACGGGGCCGGATGGGGTGGGGGTCCACAGCTCACCCAAGGCCTTAGGGGAGAGGGATTTCACTTATGCTGCTCTGAACATCCCGCGGCGTTAGAACTAGGGACTCTGAGTGGGAATCAGCCCCTGACCACACTGGTCACCATAGACCCTGAGACAACGGGGGGCCCCTTGGCCCTGGTGACTACCGAAGCCCTGCAAGTTTGCCCGAGGGGACCGGGCCCTCCCTGCTCTGGGAGACTCACTGAGCCGAGAGCCAGCATGAGGCGTCGGGAACTGGAGCCAGGTAGGAGGAAGGGGCCTGCAGGCCTGAGCACCAGGGCCACCCCTCATTCTCACGCTTGCTGGGCAAGTGGGTGGTGGGCTCAGCAGCTACCACCCAGCATGAGGCTCCCGGGGCGCCAGGCCAGCATGGAGTGACATTCTCCAGGGCCCCTTCCAGCTCTTCCTGGCTCTCAGTGTTGTTGGGGTCGGGAGGGTGAGGGAAGGCTGGGAACGCATGAGCCAGGAAGGGAGGTCAGTGACCACCGTGCCCCCTGCCCTCGGTATGCAAGTCAAGACGCTGAGGCCCAGTCCCAGCACAGGGCCCAGTGAGTGGGAAGCAGTTCTGGGCGGACCACAGCTTGGGAACAGTCCCTCTCTACCAGGTGGGTCCCCTCACCATACCTAGGGCACCCCTGCTGACTCAGAGGGGGCTGGTAGGTCCTGTCCATCTCTAGCTCTGGGCCCCCCAAGCCACGTGGACCAGTCTTGAGCTACCTGTCAGTGGCATGTGGTTTCCCCATATTCCCTTGGCCACCTGGGGTGCCCCTGTCTCTTGCTGTAGACCCTGACCTGGAAGGGCAGACTTGCCAAGTCTAGCCTAGACCAGCCCAGTTAGATGGGGGTGGGCTGGGCCCAGGACCGTACCCAAGACCTCAAGACAAGACCCTGGGCTTCTCCTGGCCCCGCTCGGCAGAGCCGGAGTCCCACCCACGTCGGCCAGGGCCCCCTCCATGCTAAGCCCAGCTGCTCTTCAGAGCTGTGTCCTCTGACCCCTGGCTCAGGACACCCTGCCCCACGATCCTGCACACCCCATCCCTGGCAGCCCTGGAGCCGGGAGGTTTACCTGGGCCGGTGTTTGGGGACCTGGGAAGATCTAGGCTGGGGCCTGGCTGTCACCAGATGAAATTTCAGCTTCTTCGGTGCAGCTAAGGAGCAGGGATTCTGGCAGATAGAGGAGCCCTGTGCTTGGGCCGATGCCCAGGCTTCCTGCAGCCTGGGGGTGGAGGGCGCTGCACTGGCACGGAGCCTGGCGCCTGCTCCTGTCCCCTGGGGCTCCTGTTCACACCCTGATCAATAATGCAGCAGGAGGAGCCTCCCTGGCCGCACTCACCACCTGCTGCTGCTCTGTGCTGCCGTCGCAGGGCGGGTGTGGTTTCGGGGCTGATGAGGGTTCTGGTGCTGTGAGGAGGACGCAGGGTCCACGTCCTGGCACTGGCCAGGGCAGGCTGGTCTGCTCAGCAGGCAGGAGTTCTGAGGCTGGGGCTGCGGATCTGGATTGTTGGGTCTTGGGCGATGGGCCACAGTGAGGAGGGCACAGCTGTGCTCACACCCACCCTGGCCCTCAGCTCATGCACACTGCCGTCGCCCTCTCCCTGTCTGCAAGGAGGCCCCACAACTGCGCACGCAACCTGCCCAGCTCCTGCCTGAGGATCTACCCATCCCTTTCCTGATACCTCAGCACCGAGCCCAGCCATGCTGGCCCCTGGCAGTGACTGACCTCCCTCCTCTCCCACAAGCTGGTTCCTGCCCCTGGGCCTTTGCATAGTCTCTTCTATCTCTCCAAATGTCTTCCAGCTGCCTCCTTACTTCCTTGAAGTCTGGGCTCAGTTCCCCTCATTACACAGGCTGCAGCTGCCTCTCCTGTCTGCAACAGAGCCCCTGTTCCTCCCTGTCCCCCGTGCTTCTTTGCTGTCGGCTGTCTTTGGGACACTGGCCCAGAAGGGCAGGGGCGGCAGGTGCCTGGCAGGTAGCTTAAGAAGGGAAGGGAGAAGAAGGGATGGCTCAGGTGTACTGAGATCTCTGTGTTACCCTGTGAGGACACCCTGGGTCCCTGATGTCAGCAGACCCCCAACTCCACACCCAAAACAGACCCCGCCTGCTGATGCCGGGGACAGTGATTACAGGAACTGGTGCCTTTAAAACCGAGAGCTTCCAGAAGTTCTTGTGCCCCCGAGCTGCCCAAGTTTCTCTTTTGCCTTTTCTTCCCCCAAAAGTTTGTACCAACAGGGGACAGGGAGAGATTGATGGCGCTGTGCCGGGAGCCAGCCCCGCAGTTTGTGTACACAGCCTATATTGGTTTAAACTAACGAAGTTTATCAGCCAGGCAGCCGGGAATCATTAATCATACAGAAAAATAACACGGTGAAATGACTTTTCAAAATACCATCGGTATAATTATCATCTTGCCCGTTACACTAAATGCCGCCATTTATATCTGTGCTACTTCAGTATGCAAACAGTAATTAACGTGGTAATGAACCAGGGGCCCCAGAGCCTCCCCTCCCTGAGCTAATTTGCATGTTAATTATCATTAGCGACCAGGGAAACAAGTTATAAACAGCCTAATTAGCAGCCAGATCATTTTTACAAGAAATGGTGTGCACTTTGACATGGGGGCATGCATGAGATTAATGAAATCAGGCGAGGCAGCCCCTTTGCCCGGCGAGTGGGGGCGGGGTGTCCTCCATGCATGGCCTCGGTGGTCAGGGTGACGCTGAGGACAGGAACAGGGCACTGGCGAGGGGCGGAGGGGCTGTGTTTTCAGCCTGCCTGCAGGCAGGTCGGGCCAAGGTCGCTGATGGAGGAAAACGGCCTTGACCTTTGCTAAGATGCCAGGACAACGCTGTCCACGCAGGTGCAGTGGGGGTCGGGGTGGATAGCAAGCTCCAAAGAGGGCACAGCGGGGGAGCTTGTGGCTCCCTAGGTTCTGGCTGGGACAGGCCGGGGATCTTCTCTGACCTGGCTCTGCAGGAGTCTTGCTACTGTGGATGAGGCAGCTAGTGCCAGGCCCAAGGACAGGCTGAAGTTCATCACCAGTTCAAAATTCTCCCTGGGCCGGAGCTCCTGGGCCAGCCAGGGCCTTGTTCCTCACAGGAGGCCGTGTTGCTGAGCTCTTACACTGGGCCAGCCCTGTGTGCTGCCCGCGGGGTGGTGCTGTGAGGGTTGAGAGAGATGGTCCATTTCAGGTTCTGTCATGGTTTGGGGCTTTTGCAAAGGGAAGCAATATAATACAGGACACATATTTCATAAGATTATTTATAATAGTCACCCAGAGAATCATGTACAAGAGAGTGCAGGAAATCTGTCCACACACTATAGACCAAGAATCCAGCTGAAGGCCTGGATGCCATGATAATGTCCTGCATGAGTCCAGCTGAAGACCTAGAGCCCGTAACAATGCCTCCCACGAGTCCACCTGGAGGCCCAGAGCCCACGACAATGTCTCATGCAGGCCTGTTTCACGGGTCTGTGCTGGGCAGGCCCAAAGGTCAGTGGCAGAAGCTAGAAAGTCTGTGTCAGTGGGATGAAGGGTCTGTGCCAGCAGGCTGAGGGATCTGCACTGGAGCCAGGAAGCGATACTCTAAAAAAGGACCCGAGCTCCCCCCAAAATTA